TTATATAAGTAAAATTTATAGAACAGTCACTTAGAAAGTGTTCTATAAATTTAGGTATTGTTCCTGTTATCAGATTCATACCTGCATTGTGTATATGAGTTAATTGAAATCCAAAGATATACTAGATGTTACCCAAGGGCACTCAGCAGAATCAGGACGAGGCAAGCCTCTCACCTAGTCTTTTAACTTCATTCTTCCTCGAATCAATAACAATCAGTCTTCCATTGTGTTACAGTGTTCTCTGGGCACAATTCTGTAATGGTTTTTATACACTGGATTTTGATTATATGTTTCTATCTTGACCCATATCTCCCCTCACTCCAACTATACATAAGATTATTGATGTAGGAAAAATGTTTTTTAGTTACACAATGCCCGGAAACATACTAGTAGCTCAATAAATATTGCTTGAGTAAGTGAATGAATGAATGTATAAATAAGATATTTTGTTGATTGAGAAAACCAACCTTGTAAGTATACTCCTGGTGAAATGATAAAGGCTTTTCCTGTCAGTTTTTTGTAGTTGTTCCTAATATAGTTCAAATCAATTCAGTAATGATAAAAAGACAATTTCCGTAATGTCACCCCTCTTTAATCAATGGTACAATTTCTGAATGAAGCATATCAACTTCGCTTAGTTTTCGCAACGATTGACCATCTGATTACAAGTATGTCTTGGCTTAAGTGGAAACTTCCTTTCAATTGTTGCTACAATAAAGAAATTTTTATCAACATCATATTGATTCTGCTGTATATTAAAGTCCTTAACCATCTACTGTAAGCACGTAACAAAAGTGATGCCCAATGACAGCTCAATTTGGCATAACTATTTAAAGTAGATTGAATAGTTATAAAGTAGATTTGGGCCTTGTAGTCTGAGCATAATAATGACAAGCTACTGATTATTTCTCAAGAGCAGAAAAACAAAATTAAATTATGGCATGGAAAACATAAAGAGAAAACACATGAGGAAGATGAAAAGATGAAAAATGAGAAAAGTGAGTAGCTTTTAACCTTCATGACTCAATTGATGTACATTTTTTATGCCTGTCCAGTTTTGTATATCTAAAAAAAAGAGAACAATTAGTCTAGTAAAGATGAAAGGTTGTTATCATGGGTCGCATGTTCATTAAATGACAAGTAGAGAAAATGCTATGGAAGAAAGTAATGGATATATTCCACAAGAAGAAGAAATAAAGTTAACAGGCTAGAATAAATATGAAAGTGGGAAAACTAGGAAAATATATCAAATGAATTAGTGGGAATATATTTCTTACCATCTTTTTATGCATTGCATAAATAAGAAAGAAAGATGTTGGTAGAGGTCCTCTTTATGAGCACTCAACCCCTAGTGCCTAAATTGTTTTGTTTCTTGAATGTGGTTCCACCTGAAAGATTATTTAAGGCAGATAATTCCTTCTTTTTTTCCCTTTGTATAGACTAGCGACCTCACTTTCACTACCAATTTGAAGTAGATAGAGAGAAAGTGATTATTGAATAAAAGAGAATACAAAAAATTTTACATTATTATTCAACAAATTTGTGTTAAGTATCTCCTCTATACAGGGCATCAGGGAAACAAAGAGGGTAGCAAGTGTCTTTCCATACATTGCTTATTTTGGCAGATTTAATGTGAAAACCAATAGGATAAATTATTCTTCCAAGGCAATTGAGCTTTATAAGATCAGTTTTATAAACCAAGGTTAAACATTTAGATCTGCATATTAATTTAGCCATGGATTAGAAAATAGGAATCCATGTTTTCTCAACATTTTAAAATTTCCTAGCTTTTCATTTTTTTTATTAAATGTTCCTTCTGATAGCTTTACTCTGTGTCCTTTCCTAAAGGAAAATATACCCTTTAAGTGAAGGATCTTGGAATATAGAAAGAAAAATTAAAAATCTAGCATTACAGGTAAGAAGAGTAAGCCATTATCATGACTAAGAAAAATAGATTTTTTTAGTTGCAAATTCCTAATAATCTCTCAAATGTCATGCTAATGACTCAGTGCTTATTCACCCATCAGACAAAACACCCCATACTGAGAAGCCTTCAAGGCTACATTAGATCCTCACTTGTCTGAAGGTCATTTGTAATTATTCACTCACCCACCTTACAGAGGCACTGGATGGAATGACTAATGTATCATTGCTAACTACTTTAAATGGTACATATTAAAAGCCAGATTCACATCTTGTATTTCTTTATGAAAAGTCATTGAAAAAGTAGGATAATGAGATAGTCTTTGGAGACTTTCAGCAAAAGAAACTGTCTGAGTGGATGAGAATTCATTTTTAAAACCAAGCTCACTAAGAAAGGACTGCAGCTGCTATAAAGCATTGGTCCCCAGTGGTATCTTAACAAATACTCTTGACATACATTACATAACATCACCATTGCCATCTGTGCACAACACTATTTTTTGGTGAGAAGTGAGTGTGATCGGCTGCAACTCTTGAGACTATTATGATTTTATTTTAAATGGATGTGTTTTAGTACTTCAGCTTTTTGCACAAAACACTATTGTACTTTAAGACAGAGTGTTGCCTCTTTAAAAGGTGAAACACATCTTGAAGTTGTGATTTAAATGTATATTGTTTTCTTTTAGGAAATTATATAGGAAATGCTATTTTTCTTTTAGGCAACTATAGGAAACTCTATTTTTCTGCATTAAGGACAAAGATTAGAGCTTAAATCCATTGGGATTCACACATTTTAAATTGCTCATGCTCATTCTTGTAAGTTAATAAGAAAGAATATTTATATAAATGAAGAAAAATATTCTCTGCTGTTTCTAAGGTGAAGACAAGTTATGAGCTCAAAGTTAATTAAACATGAAGCCAAGTTATTCTGGATTCTGGTGCCGTATGGCTCATAAAGAATGAGAATAAGAAAGAAGAAATCTAGTTCTAAAGTGTCACTGTATCTTTGGGAGGGAAAAAGTCTACAGCTTTGAGTTCCCAGGCAAATACAGAATCTTTCTAAAGTGGTAGTATCTCACTCATCTTTTGATTTAACATTTGCCTAATCAGCTCTAAAAGCAAGTGATACATGATGGCAGGATACATGAAGGGGAAAATATAAAATGCATAGGGGGAAAGTAGAGTGCTAATAAGTGTACAAGTGTCTGATAGGTAGAATGTGCCTACTTCTTCCAAATATGTCCATAACCTAACTCCTGACACCTGTGAATATTTTAAATTTCATGTTAAAGGGACCCCGCAGATATAATTAAAATAGTGAGATTGTTTTGGATTAGCTGGGCCCTAATTAATTTATTCCTAATCACAGAAACCCTTAAAAGCAGAGTACTTTCTCTGGACGGAGGCCAAAAACATGCATCAGAAGACTATCTGAGAAAGCAGGGAAGGTTAAACAAGGTGTTATTGGAGCTGAGTCCAACTGGAAGAGGGCCTTGGAATTGGAATTCTTGCTGTTGCCACATCCATGTAGACACTACCACATGTAATGAAGTACTCCCACGTGCAGTATGTTTGGTACCATTGTGATGCTCAAAGGCTCCTGAGCCAAGTGGATTAAAAAAAAAAAAAAAAGAAAAGAAGAAGAAGAAAAAAAAAAAAAACCAGCAGATTCCAAAAGTGTGGCTGGGATTATTTTAATAGGTGTTTAAAAGTTAAAAATCAAATTTGCAGCTTGTTTTGACAATTGGGGATTTGAAGTTCTCTGACAGAATTCAGAAATGTAACTTGAAGTTCCTAGAAAAGTTGTTCTTAATCCTCATTATTTTTCAGAATTAATCATGAATTTTAAAAGAAAAATAAGGTTGTCCTAGTCTTATCCTAAAAATAAAATCAGAATTTCCAATGGTAAGACTTGAACACACACACACACACACTTTTTTAACTCCTCAAGTGAATAAACATTATATTTTTGTGAACTTGTCCAGGAATATTCCTTGTACAGCCATATTTTTGATGAAGGCAGCAGTAAATTCAAGGTTATATAATCTAACAAAAAACTGATCTCTACATACACTACGCTTGCCATGTAACGACCAGGGGAAGGCATGGTTATGAGCTTATTTCAGGATTCCTGTAATAACTCACCTGTACACATGGTTGACATAGGAACTAAAGTGGGCAGCTGTAAAATTTCTTCATAAAAAAATTCTGGTTTCACTTCAGCATGCAGAAAAACTATCAAAACTTCAAAGTTTCAACTTAGAAAAATTATTCTTATCAACTTGTCCTGGAAAGAAAAAATGTAAAGCACATACTACAATTACCCAAGATGGCTGTAGGCCCATATCAATATTGAATTCGTGGAAGGGAAAATCCTTTGGGAAAAGTGAAACTCAAAATATACACCTAGATAACTAAATGTAATGAACTTCTATAGTGAATGATTGAATATAGGCTAAATATTTAAGAGCTTCTGATCTTAATGTTTTGGTAGTAATCTTCATAATTTTGGACATTTTATTTAGAGATAAATAAAAAGTAGTCAGGAATATTACAGAGATCATTAAAGCTTATTGGTTCCCCCAGGAGAATATTGAACTGGAGAATACACGCATGCAATTTATCCAAAAGGAGAATTGGTTTAATCTAGAGAGAATATTCAATAAAGTATTATGTCCAAAAATTGCATGTATATATGTATGTTGCAAAGGTGGGGGCAAGTTGAGTATTCACTCTTTTTATAAAATATGTCATTTTCTCCTTGTTCTTTCTCTCAATCAGTTTTGAAGAGTTGCTGTTTGTTTATGATATAAAGGTGGAATTGCCATTTGTTAAAGCAGAACTTCTAAGATATAATTATCTAGAAAATTTTAGTAGATTTCAAAATTTAGATTTCAAATATTATTACTCAGTTTAATTGTATTCACATCATTTATGTTATAAGCTTTCTTCCAAAATTTAATAAACACTTCATAAGATCAAAAAACTCACTAGTTTTCTAACAAACTTGTATGTGAGTAGTGAGACTGCCATAAATATACCCCTATTAATCACTTATAAAAATGTGTAAAGGATGTGGTTCCATAGTGTAGTGGTTAGCACATTTGCCTTAGACACAGAAGGTCCTGGGTTCACACCCCAGTGGAGCTATGTTGATCCATGTTCTATGACCATACCATCCTGAACAAGCCCAATGTCTGATCTCAAAAGCTAAGCAGGGTCAGGCCTGGTTAGTACTTGGATGGGAGGTTACCTAGGAAGACTGGGTATTGGAGGCATAAATAAAAAATAAAATAAAATAAATAAAAATGTGTAGAAACTTGTCATGAAAATTTATATGTCAGAAAAAAATGTTTTTGAGAAAAAGGAAAGAATAAAAATGGTGATGTGGGATTGTTTTTAATGACTGATTATCTTAACTAAAGATATTTGAAGCCAATTCCTGATAATGAAAAAGGGAGACATTTTGCTCTCTTAACAAAAGGAGTCAGGATCAAGGATAGATACAGAGGCTGTGTATGAAACATAATTAGTGTTATATAATTTTATATTAGAAAAATAAAAAATAACTATTATCATAACATAAATAAAAAATGAAGATGGACAAAGTCCTGTGTGCTGGAGCATGTGTAATAAAAGTTGGAGAACAAAACTCAAGGCCAGTTTATAAAAAACCTGAGTAGATATGGTTGAATCAAGGAAGATTAACTGGGGAGCAATTCAGTCAAGAAAATAAAATGGATAAAAAACAATTTAGGTAATAAGATGTAGAAATAGCTCTCTCGAGTGAATTCTAGTAGATATATCTGTTTTCCATGTAGTAAAATAGATCCAATTTGTTGATTTTAGCATATTAAAGAAGAGTCTCATTAATAAGAGTAAATAAGATAGTGAGTCTTTGGCTTTATAAGGGAGTGTGAGCTCTGGGTTTCATGTCACAAACTCTAGAATAACGTAAAGGCTTCCAAAAAGACAAATAAGTTAGTATCATATAGCAGGACCTTTTGAAAAGAGATCAACTTTCAAACATGTTAAAGTTATAATTGAAAGCAATTATATATTAAAAATGAAAGTACATAAAGATACTAACATGAGAAACTTATCTGATATCTGGAATTTTAATATATGTCATAAACATGTGGACTGTCTTTTCTAAAATTTAATATTTCTGATAGTGTTTATGATATGTTACTTAACATATATAGAACAAGCATATTATTTGTACTTGAGAATCTCAAAGATAGAAAACATTATTTTTAAAATATTAAAAATTCAGTATCTCAACAATCCCATTACTTAAAAGTGAAGGTCTCTATAAAGTTTAGTAACTCTAAAACTGATGAGTATTCAGAATAATAATTTAGTGCATAAAAAGGAAAAACAAAGATCCATATTTTTAAAACACTGGTAAAATAAAACAGTGGTAAGAGGTAAAATATAAATCTCCAAAAAAATAAAAAATATAATGCTACATGATTTGAAATAGAGCTTGATAATATCTTAATTTCTATACACCAAATGTATTCTTAGCATCACATTTTTAATGTTCTTCAATTTTTAATCCCATTATTTATTTTAAAAGTAAATTAAGGTTTTTAATAATATACAACTTCTTTTAGCAGGATTTATATCATGCAGTAACCATAATAGGTTTAATTCATTGATAATAAAGCAGTTCTTTTCAATCCCATTTTGACAAATAAAATTCTGAAATCTGTTTAGAGCCAATACATTACAATTCTTTCAGTTAATGTAGATAAAGAAATAAGTTAAAATCACAATGCTGTTCAGTTATTTTGTAGGAGGGCAAAAAGCTTAAATGTGCTCCATCCAGTGTCAATGAACATCTATCTATCTTGGAAATTAAGTGTTCTGCCAAGGGAGCCGGCATTCACATTCACAAAGGAGATACTATTTTTGCTTTGCTTCGCCACACTTACTTTGAAAATGTACACCAGTAGAGGTTCAGCAATTCCACTCTGTATGAGGCTACATGTGCTTCAATAAATCAAATACTTAGTGGGAATCTTAGCTTGAATATGTTAACCTTGAGAAATAACAAGTCATGAAAGCTTTGAAAAAATGTCTAAAAATAAAAAAAAATGAGAAGCAAATATAATTTTCTCTTTTATTTCAAGCTCTGAAGTCCATATCTATCAAATATTAAAACAGCATTACTTTAAAATGTTCAAATGAAAAGGGAGGCTATGTGTTTTTACTTAATTGCCATTCTGTTATATAATACAATCACATGCTTACATATCAAGCTCATTTTAATATTAGTCCTAAACACTTTTTCTCCAACTTAAGCAAAATAAAAATAATTAAATAGTTTGCTATCTTCCCTATTTTTCTGTATCCTTGTAAAATTTATCAGGAAGTCACTATTTCATAATCTGTGAAAAATATGAAGCTGATACACATACAATTAATTATATAGTGATCCCTTCTAATCTAGTAACAGGAGTTGGAGGGAGTTGGTTCAGGAAAACTACTCCATCCTGAATCTTGTTGGCAAGGGCCAATTCAGAAAATAGAATAATGACATTTTCTAGGTACTTTCAGATGGTGAGCATTCAATGATGAACAAATATTATCTCTGGTTCCAAGGTGGAGTTAGATATTGGGCTGATAAAGTTTTCAGGAAGCCGAAATCATAACATAAGATTTTCAGATCTGTAATTGTTGGAGCTCTTGGTATATAACTGGCTCAGGGTGAAATGGTTCTCATGAACAAGAAATCCAGAACATATAAGATGACAGAGGAGCAGACATGATTCCAAGTTGCTGATAGTGATAAAGCAAGCTGGCCACAGTGAAGCCAAATGTGTGTAGACCTTCAAGAATTTAGGAGGCACTGTGTTTGCAGCCTCATCAGGATACTGAACTCTGTAATTCCCACCACACCTGCAAATTTTTGATGTCTTTCTCGAAAAACAGTTAAGTGAATGAAATTTGGAATTATTGGAATTTATCCTATTTACTGCAGTTTTCGATGCCTTAAGAAGTACTTAACATATAGTAGGTGCTTAGGATTTATTGATTTGTAAATTGGGCAAAGATTGCTTCTTAGGAAAGTTGAGGCTCAAGGAAATTGGGTAGTGATTCCACTCCCAAGGATTGCCTTTTTACCAGAGGATAATAAAACAAAGGCATTTGAAACGAATACAAAGTGGAACTGTTGAACTCCAATTATCCTTTTTCTCATTACTGCCTTTCTGATGTAACATATTCTTAGTTTTGTTAGGTCCATAAAGAATCAGGAGTTTGAAACCCTTAAGATTATGTCTAAGCAGATAGTTCTTGGATTGTCATGGCAGGCAGCACAGCATGTTGATTGGATAAGATTATGTTGATGAGATTATATTTCTTACACTCCCTTAAACAAACCTTCGATGAATGAGAATAAAATATTTCTCTGTACAATAAAGAAGGTCATTTAATCACAATTTTTACTCTGCATCCTCATTCTAGTTTTAGTCAACTGTATAGAGGGATGAAATCCAAAAGTCATTTCAATGAAATTCATTTTTATTACAGATTCCAGTCACTAATTCAATAATTATTGATCAAGTATCCAAAATGTACCAGACTCTATAATAGGCTGTGAAGTTACAGTATTGAGCAGGACTAATCTCTGTCTTAATGAACCTTAAATTTTATTGGAAGAAATCAATAAGCAAATATGAATGGTGTGTGTGTGTGTATGTGTGTGTATGTGTGTAGTCTGACAATGTTGGGTACTATAAAAAATAAAGCAGACAATGAAAGGACTGTTCATGATTAGGGATGAAGGAGATACATTAAATAAAACAGTCAAGAAATCCTCTCTAAGGAGACAAATTTTGAACAGTGATTCAGATGACAGGAAAGAGAAAATTATGTGAGGATCTAGCAAAGAGCATTTCATGTGGAACAGTATGAAGACCCTAAGATACAGATGAGGTTGGTTCATTTAAGAAGCATCAACAATATCCCTGTTGTTGGAGTGGGTGACTGAGTGAGTGAAAAAGAATTAGGAATTATTAAATGTAGGGTTAATATAATCAATGCTAAAGACTTCCTGTATTATCCAAACCATGATGGAAAGCCTTTGAGGGACTTGGTTTGCTGATGAGTGGCAGATGTAGAATCTTAAAAAAAGATGTCTTCATATTTTCTTTTTTTTTCTTTTTAAACATTTCTTTTACTGCTTTGTGGAAAATGTGCTATGGGAGCTATAAATAAAACAGGAAGACCAATTAGAAGATATTACTACATTAACTCAGGCAAGAGATAATTATTGCCTGGGTTAGGATCTTGATATTATACATGGTGAAAATAAGATTGAATTTTGATGTATTTAGATGATAATGCCTACAAAACTTGATGATAATGCCTACAAAACTGGATAATGGGACTTGAGGAAAGTGAGAAATCAAAGAAATGTTTAAGGTTATTGCCTGAGCAACTGAATGTGTGTTGTGACTTTTATTAAGACCAAAGCAGCTAGAAGGATCAGATTTAGGCATAAAATTGGTAGTAATCAAAAATTATATGTATATATATAATATGAAAGATTTTTTAGATATATAGTTCAGAGATGATAAAGATTTGAGAGTTGGCATAAAATATAATGTATTCAAAGTCACATAGAAGTGATGGCATTGCTTTGGGATATATTAATAAGTAGAGAGAAGGAGAGAGCATTGGATGTGACAATAATTCAAGTGAGAAAAAGGAGGTTATGTGGGAGGAAAATGTGGTATTGTCAATGAAGTAGGAGGAAAACAAAAGAGAGTGAGTGGTGGCTTAGAAGTCAAGTAATGGGAACTGGTCAAGAACAAAGGAGTAAATATTTCTGTTTGTTGATGTTGAGTGAACATGATGAGGAAATAAAATTGATCATCAAATTTTATACAACACGGATGTTGATGTTCTTATCAAGAGCAGCTTCAGTGGTGTAATGCTGACAAAATCTTAATGATAATACATGAATAAGGGAATTAAGAGGTGAAGAAGTAATCAGTGAACATAAATCTATCACTCATGGAGCTTTATTTCAAAAGACCACAGAAATGTGTGGTAATGAGTTAAAGGTGTTTTTAATGATAAGGGCATTTGATGTTTTGGAGTTTTTTGTTTGTTTGTTTGTTTGTTTGTTTGTTTGT